ACTACTATAGGGCTTATTAAGGGGGATACTAGGAGTTTAGATTATAGCTCATATAACCCATTATAGTAGTTTCCATTTTATTTTTCCATTATCCCAATATAACCCCAATATATACCCTTTTAATATTACTATTGCTATTCTTACTATTAGTATTACCAGATGAACCCTAAGCCCAGTACACAGGGATAGCTCATGGCAACTCCCAGTCCAGCACCTAGGCTTCCATCTGTTGAGGGTTTAGGGTTTACGGTGAGAGGGTTTAGGGTTAAGGGTTTAGGGTTTAGGGTTTAGGGTTTAGGGTAGTATCCCTCAGCCTTACTTATCAATCATGGGCAGGAGTTGCGCCACGTAGAAGCCTGAAAAAGGTTGTAAGGTTATTCCCTTATACTTGCTGCGCTTATATAGCTATGTATCTGAAACCCTTGAAGCCCTAAACCCGAAACCGTACATCCGGAAAGCTTGCCAAGGCTTTCCAAAGAAGTGATTACTCTCTTTGAGGTTACTTACAGGAGTCCTAACCCCCAAAAAGGTTTCACACCTCAAGCCAAGTTCTGGTTTGAGGGTTTAGGGTTTAGGGATTTTGGGTCTAACAATCTGTATGTTATTTGCTCTCTGTTGTTGAAGCACCGCCCTCTCCAACAAGATAACATTATTGCCCGCGTTTCAGCTTTCCCAGACTCCTCTGACCTCACCGTGCCTGAAATTAAGCCACTCCGTTAAAACATCAAAAAATCTGCCTCTAAGGATAAGCAGGCTTTCATCGCTCTGCATCTACAAGAAGATGTTCATGACTCCTCACGGTCCTCTCTTCTTCAAAAAAAGGCTCTCTCATTTTTTGACGATAGAATCCGCCCTACCCAGTTCAATCTGCCTATTCATAGTATGCCTCGTACTCTCGATGTCTGTGAACGACAGCAGAACTCTCTTCGTGTTTTGTTCTCGACTGGTCAAAAGCTTTTGACTCTGTCACGTTCCCAGCTATTAGATCCGCTCATTCCCATATGGGGGTCCCCTCCCTCGTCAACTCTATTCTGTCCCTATGTCATTCTCCTACATTTCGCGTTCGTGACGCTGGCCACCTCGCCCGGTTTTCCCTACACTTGCGGACTTCGACAGGGTTGTCCCCTTTCTCCTTGCCTCTACAATTTTGTGTTAACTACACATCTTTTCTCAGATGTTGAAAATGCATACTCCGCTTTATCAACACTCCTTCTCCACTTTGGGATTTAGAGTATGCTGATGACACAGCTCCTCTCTAACTCAGCTGAACAAACCACACGCCTCTTGCATTTATTGCAACGCGAAGCTTCTGTTCGCGGATTGGTCCTCAACTTTGATACATGCGCCACCTTCGCCTGAACTCTGAGGAGAGAATTCCTGTTCCCCCCAAGTCTTCACTCCCCTTTCGATTGCACATGCTGTATGGGGCAGGTTAACCACGACTCTTGTATCCCACTCTCAGACAAAGTTGAATCCTCAGGTGTGTTGATTGACTCTCTCTCTCTCTCCCTCCATTAACCGCAAGAATATTTGGTAGTTTCCCAAAATAAGGGGACTCCAATATAGGCCCCAATATACTACAGTCCTTATTATGGGGACTCCCAAAAGGGTACCCCTAATTTTAGGAAACCCTCATCCCTGTAATCCCCTATATACCCCCAGTTTCCATTTCATTTTCCATTTTCTTTTCCATTTGATTCTCCATTCTTGGAAAGGTACCCCTAATTTTGGGAAATCCCCAAATGAGTCTCTCCACATATCACAAGCTGTCTCAGCTTTTAAGCTTCTGAATCCATTGTTAGGGCATCGCGCCCTTCCCCCATCTTGGAACCCCTTAGGGTTTAGGGTTTAGGGTTAAGGTTACCGTTTACAGATCTATTGCCCTAAGGGTTCAACCAAAAACTCAGCAAAACTCGGGATAGGAGGGAATGGATACGAATTGTCCACAAACCCCAAACTTGAACAACAAATAGATAGCTGCCGGGGCTGGCAGTTTCTCGACCGAAGCTTGCGCAGATCAAGCAGGGTTTAGGGTTGAGGGCCTAGGGTTTAGGCCCAAGATAGACCTATACCATTGAGCGGTTTTCTGACGAGAGCTCGCGCGAATGACCGGCAGCTCAGCTTCCAGCACCACATTGAAGAGCATTTGAAATGCATGGGAGTTTCCGAAAGTGGGTGTCCCCCGTGATATACGCCCAAATATGATAATCCCTAGTATGAACTCCACCCTCCCCCGCAAAAAACACCGAATGGGCACCCTTGACGATGCCGGGGATGTGGGGAGGTATGATGGGCTCTAGAGTGAAGAGTTTTTAGGGTCTAGGGTCAGGGTTGCCTTTTAAAGGTTGCGCATCGAAGAATTCGAGAAACTCCCACATCGGCCGCTGCAAAACCTACGTAAGTCCCCCTTAAATTCCAGCATCCTTAACACAATCCCAAATCAAGCCCTGTACGAGCCCATGTAACCCTGACATCCCGGCAGGAAAGCGCTTAACTTGTAACCAGATTGTGACCCACAAAGTCCCCTAGTCGTTCTTCGATTATTCGATACCTAATGTCGACGGCTTTAATCAAATTCAATGGGGTTCGTGTGCTTATCAAGTGCAATGCAAGCAGACAACGCAACTTTACACCCAAGTGTCTTCGACCCTACGCCCGAAGTCCTAGTCCCCAAAACGCAAATGACACACCTTAACACCCTAATTCCTTAACTCTACTTCCTAAACCCCAAACTCTAAATCCAGAACCCGAAGCCCTAAAACTCCCCATACTAGCATTCCAGAGCTCTCCCCCTAAGCCCTAAAGATTAAATTCTCAATCAGCCCTAATTAATCATACTCTCTGATTAAGGGTGACCATTCTGGGATGGTACTGTAGGACAGGGGTTGGGCTTCAGGGTTTGGGTTCCTAGGCCTTAGACCCAACTGAATAGTAATTGGGAAACCCATTTTGGGCACCGAAAAAGTGTTTTTCCTGCGGTCTTGTCCCGTACTTGAAGGTTCAGGACAATCATCAGGGTGTAGGACCTAACGTTTTAGGGCTTAAGTGTTTCAGGGCAATGGAAAATCAAATGGACAAGACAAGGGAGCATGGACTGGAAACTGTGAGTTCTTTGATAGGAATATGTAAGAATTAAGGGCTTAGCGGTTTTGAACTCAATTTCAATTGCTCCTTTAACAACCCAGCTAGATCAAGACCAGGGGGCTCAGGGACTATTACCCCGCATGGAGCGATGAAACTTTGAGCGATGAAGCGTTTAACGATGAGAACATGCGCTCCACAAATGCTAGGTTGTCGAATGCATGGTCCCCAAAATGGGTCCCGTTTGTAGTACGGCCCCAATTATTTAGGGAACCCCACACACGGACCACAGTTCTGACAACCTTGTTTCAAATGACAACATATGCTGGCAAAATACGTTTACAAGGCAAGAGATTTAGGGTCCCCGTTTCACAGGGCAGTGGCCATCATGCAACAGAACGAAAATGTCTTTCCATCCGCCATGCTGACAAAGCCAGCTTGCGAGATTCGTGCTCACACCGTGAGTGCTATGGAGACAAAAAGATTCTGCATGACGTGTTGGGGAACTGCCTGGGATTTTTCTCACTGCTTTGGCTTCCACACCATACAAGGGCTTCTGTGTGTACTTGGCTCTTGAAATTCCCATTCAGGAATTCTTTGGGGCAGCATGTGTATACCACATTTACATCATTCCTCAGGGAGCGTTCTCGCCTCGTTCCTGCTCAATGCTCAAAATCATTGTCTGCCGATCTCAGTCAGATTTGCAGGCTTCTTTAACGCAGAGTAGGATGCCATTTTGTACGTCGAAATTCGTGGTGCGGGTTCTTCTGGGGATCACACAGGTTTAGGGTTTTGGGGTTTAGGGCTCGCTGTTCTGGGCTCCCGAATAATGCGCTGGTTTTTTATGGAAGAAAAGGGGCTTCTCTATTCCTAGGTGACGGCTCTCAGTGTTCAGAAGCTGAAGCACCTTCAGGGCTTCCCGGAGAGAGTTCATAATTGTGCCCGCAACCCGGTGCGCACGTGAATAAGCTGTGAATGAAGGACTGATTTTGCGTGACTGCATCTTACCCAAGTGCGAACCAGGTAATATCCTACGGCCCCAAATACGCATCCGCAGAGACTGCAAACAACAGCAGTACTTTGTATAGATCTATCTTGACCCATAGCATGTGCCGCGGTCATGGAAGTTCAGTGCCCTCACCGTCAAAGCTGTTGCCGTGGTTTGGATATCTTCAGCGGCGTCAGACGTCCTCCATTACGAGTAACAGACCTAAATGATAGAGTCCGAAGCTTAACCTTTGAGCCTTTGGTCCGAAACAGATGAACCCTACATCCAAAACATCCTACACCCAACATTTCCAGACCCTACACGCAAACACTAAAACGCTAAAGTCCACATCCGAAAAACAAGTGAGGACCCTGCATCCAAAAAGTAAGCCACACACCTGGAGCGTAAATCTTGAACACAAGTTCCCAACCCACCCTCCCCACAAGCCCTCAGCCAAAGCTGCCAAACTTTCCAACAACGATTGAACAAAGTTACCGTCAACTAAGAGTTTCAGATCCTAATCCTTAAGCCCCAAATCCCCAACCCGTACCTAGACCCCCAAGGACCTTCTACGGAGCCCAAATACCCCCTAATAACTCCTTGGGACTTAGCTTGGACCTTAGACCCTTAACCCTTTGGGATTCCACTTATATTCCTATTATAGGTAATTAAGGGTTAACCCTTAGTAGAGGTCCTAAGTACCCTAAACCCTAAACCCCTATGGAATCCCTATATAATCCCTATTATATCCCTATAACATAGTAGTTTCCATTCTCTCTTCCCTTAACGCTAAGCCCTTAACCCCTTAGTAGGGGTCCTAAGTGCCACGTAGATAAGACCCCTAAACCCTAAACCCTAAATACCCCCCAATTAAGACCTACAAGCAGGCAGCCCAGAGAGCAAGTGCACTACGACCGGCGCCACTTCAGGTCCAGGCCACGGCATTTTTTTATTTTAAATAGGGTTTAGGGTTTAGGGTTTCTGGGCTTCAGTGGGTTTAGGGCTTTGGATTTAAGGATGTTGGGATTGGGGGTTTGGGGTTTAGGGAGGGTTTAGGGTTTAGGACGTAGGGTTATGCCACAGCCAAAGCTGCCCCAGCCCTAAACATGCAAGGCCCAACTAGAATTCGGTGTAGAGCTAGTTTAGGGTTTAGTTCATTTAAGCGTTAATTTAGCGTCTGTTTGGGGCAGGGTGATTTTTGGCTGGGGGCGTTTTTTTTGGATCCCGTTAGCAAGTCTCAGAGCATCCCTACACTCTCACTGACCTTTCAGCTGCAAACCTTGGGTACTGCCCCCCCCCCCCCTAACAGTCTATATTAGAGGTCCTATTAAGGCCTTTTATAACCATATTATAATTATTCTCCAAGTGTTACTGAGGGGGGCAGTACTCGACGCAAACCCTACATGCGTAGTTTTTTGTAGGAGGATACTCTGGTACCCATTAAAGAGTAAGATTATATCCTCCTTCTGGGGTATACTACTTCGTATATAAGGAATATGATCTCACTGGGTCCAGCCACCGAAAACACTACTCACATCTCCTCTGCCAAGCCCTATATGTCCCTATATACACTCTTCGAAAGGACCTTTAAAGCCTTATTCCTTTTGCCTAAACCCTGCTTCACCTGAAAGATCTAAGGGCCTTTAGACGACATGTCCCTATATGAGCTATGGTCTAAACTCCTTAAGGGAGGTTCTATAATGGATTAAAAAGGGGATTACTCTAGGAGTTATTAAGGGGGATGCTAGGAGTTTAGACAAAAGCT